AATACAAAAATGTACCCGAACAGCCTTGTGAAAGAGAACCATTAAAAATGTTTAAATTATAACTACAATGTAAGCAATGGCAATAATAAAAAAATAACTATTCTTGTATGGTTAATCCATACTGATTTGTGAACTAGTTTATGCAGGCAGTAAGTGCATTTTCTGATGCAACACTGCATTTAATAGCTGAATATCATGTATCAAGATAATAAGCATGTTCTGGCATGCACGTAGAATGCATATGTTTCCATACAATATCATAAATTCTGTTTTCGCTTATTAACTAGGATTAGTTAGAACTCAACTTAAAGCATTCAACCTGCAATTCTATACCCACTCACCTACGAGTAAACCCCAGTGAACCCTAATGAGACTCACTTCCAAATATATATGTATGAGTATGCTGAGAATGTTTTTTAACATCTTCTATTCCTTCCTTCCTTCCGGAACAACCTATCACATGTATCTTTACACCAAAACATAATTTATAATTTATCAGATACTGTATTATAAAATGTCGTCTTTGACACAGTCTCCAATTGTTTATATTTAAACAATAGTTTTCTGTCTTTATATTGTCATTCCACAGATCATCTCAACAGATAAACATGTATGTGTTGCTATCCCAATTGAACAGAAAAGATACGCACAAACACTTCATATTCACTGGATCAGAGATGGCTCTGAAAATTAGGCAAAAGAGCTGAAGTAGAGAACAGGAAAAGGCATCGAATCTTATTTACTGTTGCTGATTATTTTATTTTTCTTGTTTTAAATGCTGAAATTTATAGTTACCTACGCAGAGCATCTGGAACTGAACAGGAAAAAAAATCCAGGTAAACTACAAAATACTACAGTGGAGTCAGTGTGAAGACACATACTTAATTTCATTGAATAACTCTTGTTGATAACCTAGCAAATAAACAATGTTTTATTCCAGGAGGCCATAGTGGGTTGAAAAACATAGTGTTTATAGCAAAATATAAAAATAATTAATTCACCTAATTATGCACACAAAAATATACATTCATACACAGAAGCTGCTCAAAAACAAGCCTTTCCAGCTGACAGGATTTATGAGTAAATCTTATCTGTTTTGTAATCAAGGTCTAACATGACTGAATTTTTTTTTTTAAATGGAAAAAAATATATTGGGAAAAAGGCTATGCTAGAAATCTTTTATCTTTGCCTTTGTTTCATGTGTGGAGAATATTCTGTATGTGAGAATGCAAACTGATGCTCTACAGTCCACACATGTGATGCTCATAGGTGACATCTGTGAGTGCTAGGCCTAAGATTTTCCCTGTATCAGAGGTTCTCAGTCTGTATCATAACTGTCCTAGCTACCCGCCTTAAAACAGCAAATGAAATTTTGTGCCTCCCAAAGTGTATCTAAAATGTGATAAACAGAAGATTCAGCTGGCAAAGTCCACACCATGACAGGTCCAGGGACAAGACAAACTGTAAAGAATGAAGGTGCAGTTAATGTTGGGCTCAGTGTGTAGTCCTATCACAAAGATCTTTTGATCATATTAATCAAAAGAAGCTGGACATACTCCCACTTGCTCTTTCCTGACTGATATGACCAAAATTCAGGAGGCAATTTCTTATTTGAGAAGTGGCAAAATCCACGCCTTTTCTGAGAACTGTTAAGACATTCTTAGAGAACACCCAAACCCACTATACATAGCACCCATTTATCAAATTCATACAGTATCCAACTGAAATATATTTAGCTTATTCTATGTGGAAGCATGCATATGTAGAAGGGTGGGTGCAATAATCTAAAACGGGGGAGGGGGAAAGGATATTCCCTCTTTTTAAAAAATGGAAAATCCCAAATATTACAGATGGGGCTATGGACTTGTACCTAAGTTACATGATTTGTAGCTTACCAGAAAATTTTAAAGACTGTTGTTCTTTTTTGCAGTTTCTAGACTGAAAAGTAAATTTTTTAGAAAGTCAATGTTGTAGAAGCTGAGACCAATGCCACTGAAGAAGAAAAATTAAAGCCATATCGTCTACGTTCAGATTGAGTCCAGAGAAGTTTTCTTAAATATAATTTATGTTCTCCCCAATTCTCCCAGTTAAGGTCATAAGGCCTCTGAACCATCATGGCTGGATTGTTTTAGTGCTCTCTGCTGAACACCTGCAAACATCAAACAAAAACTGCTGGTCCTTTACAGCGTTGACAAAAGCCTTTCATGTGAAAAAATGCACCCTGGGAATGTCAGGCCTGTGGCTCAGGTTACATTCCTTTCTCCTTTGCAGCCTCACAATTTCTCGATGTAGTAAGAGGCCACGTTTGTAAAATCAAAGATTAAAGGGAATACTGGGCCACTTTCTTTTCATTCACACATTACAAATCACACCAGATCATTGTGTATTAAACAAGCATATTAAAACGAACAGGCATGCACACAATTTATTTTATTTGGCTTTTTTTTTTGGCTTTCTAATGAAAAAAATTACCTCCAACACACAGGAGAATGCTAACACTTCTATTAAATGGGCACCAGTTTTTAAAGGAGATATGAAAAAATGCCAATCTTCACTAGTCAGACATTTGAGGTAGTAGATCTGTCCCAACAAAGACAGCAAGCCACATCTGAATCTCACCTTAATGAACATAATTTAAAACCATAGCTGTCAACAGAGAAAGCGAGGACAAGAAGTAGTGATACGTTTTCTCAAGGTGCAAACCTTTTTCTTAAATTGCTAACTTTACACTGATCCCAAGCACTTTATAACTCATCACCTGTTCTCAGTTATTCTCCAGAACAATGCCAAATATCAGTATTCTACACAGCTTATTTGCCAGAAAACACGTTACAGTCAAGAAGCAAGTACATAAGCATACCTTCTTGTCACAGGTTTACGAATTTAGAACCATTTTTATAACATACTGGATTCTACCATCTTCTCCAAGTACTGCATGTACCATTTTAAAAGGTCATCACCTATTGACCAGAAGGTTGCTACCTACATAATATAAAACATACCATTTAGCAACAGAAACGTCTACACCTTCAGCACATTGTTATTTCTACAACGCTTTTTTATTTAATCAAGTAGGATAGACTACCAGAGACTTTCTCCTTATCTCACCCTTTTGCAGGGTAAGAGTAACGCCTCATTTGTATGCCTCATTTACTACAAAACCAGTCCACTAATTTCTAGTGAACTCACTGACAAGTAGGTATACTCAGGACTGTGACCTTAGGATGCCTTATAAAAAGATGCATTGTTTTAAGATCTCCACAGCTTAATTTTACTGCTCTGCCTCAAAGGTTGTATTGTTTTCTATTTCGTTTCCAATTATTTGCATGTTAGGTTTACACACCAATGCAAGATTTTTGCATTGCTCGTGCTATAAAAATCGTTTGTTGCCTCCCTTGATTTTCAGGATTGTTTCTTTGTTCTTTTAAAACTGCTGGTGAACAGCTTTCCTATTAAACTGAGGAATATCCCTTTGCAAAAACGTCATGCTAATATCTACTGAAATAACAGTTAGTAGCAATACTTATTGTATATAACTTGTAAATGTATGTGCTCATTTTGCACTGCTTCTATAGCAAAAAAAACCCCATTTAATGCTATACTTCCTTTTAAATAAGTTACTATAATCAAAATATTATGAAATCTGATAAACCCACAGATAGTAAGCCTTTGTAGGTAAGACTACATGTACGTTCAAGAAAATGTATTTAGGAATCAAAGTGCAGGATGCCTTCCAATGAACTATTAAGGTAATGAAAGCACCATTTTCTATGTTATATGTCTTCGCTGTTAAAACTCAGAATGTGGTCAGACGACATTAAATGGTACAAATTAACTTCAGTTCAGTTTTCAGTATGTTATCCTCTGAAAGTGATATTATAAAAACATATCACGGGCAGAAAATATATATTCAAAATTTCGTATATTATTTTACTGCCAAGGAGAATTTTGCTATAGACTGATAGAAGTCGAGCAGCACAGTCATTGGTAGTGAACTTCTAAAGGCTTGTCAAAATTTAACATCTGGTTCAGAGATGCTCTTCATATAGAACTTTGGACAGGGAACAGTTATACACAGTTGCCAAAAGGCTGAAAACATTGTAGCAGTTTATTTGTAGATATATTTGACTCACATCTAAACTACATTAAAAAGGTGTTTGAAATAGTATGAAATGAAATTATCAGGGAGAGAAGAGTCAAATATGGATTTCTTTTCACTAGTCTGAACATTCTCCACATACAAACATCTTCTGTGCTTGGCTTTCAATTATTATAATCAGAGGTTCCTACACGAATAGCCAGAGCCTTTATTTTAGTCACAGAGGAAATTTCTATTTTTGATAAACACAAAGCATGTTTGTCACACTGAAAAACCAAATAAACATTTACGGCAATGTCCATAGACTCTTAATTTCATACATAAATTTAGAAAAATATTGGGAATTGACAGCAACCTTAACTTTGGTGGTTTAGAATTACCGCCTAAAATATCTAGAAGATTCCAAAAGAATCTATCAGTAAATGCAAATCCCAAGAATAGGATTGTAATTTTGAAAATAAATGAATGAAATAAAAATGTTGAAATAAAACTCAAGAGAAGGGCATTCTTCCTTATTGGCAAAGAAAACAACCACTGCCAGAAACTAGTTGGTTATCGTTCCTCATGTAACAAAAGGGTAAATATGTTTGAGAATTTCACATTTCCAAACTTGGTTGTGTATAGAATTAAGTCCTGTAAAATAACTAGTCATCTAATATATTTTTGTAAGATATATATTACACTAAGCCTGAGACAATACAATGAAACAAAATCTTTCAGTTGCGATCTTAATGGAAGCCCTCACTCCAAGACAGAGTTATACCACCAAAATACATACATACATACATACACACACACACACACACACACACACACAGACACACACACAGACACACAGAGCAGATGCTGGAGAAAATACCTAAGGGCACTTCACTGTATGCCAAACAGAAACTGTACATACTTGAGCCAGTAAAATGTCCACTTGCCAAAGAAGTTGGTCCATTTTTCCCACTGCTCACAGGAGGTGAAAACATCTAAAAGAAAACAAAGAGACATTATTGTTCATACACAGGATTCTTTTCTGTGTTCACTGATAGCTCACATTTCACTGAACTTCATATGAAAACTATAATAACAACTAATCTAAATACAGAATATTTTCTGTCTCGGCTTCCATAAAAATACAATCATTTTCAGAATCTATATTCCATTTTTTAAAATGTCCATTTTACTTATTACCCAAATATAAGATTTGTGGGTGG